CAGTTGTCTAACGAAATTTGTCGATAGCCTAGCTACGAATATTTTGTTGTTGAAAAGCCTAACGATAAAATTAGTTTAAGTTTTTATTGAGAAAAATTAGGCAAAATTCAATCGGTAAGCAAACTATTATAATAAAAATCAGTAAACATTTATCACAAATAGATGTGCTTATTATTATTAATCTTTTTATTTATTACACTGTGCAAGTTGGAAATTTAGGCAAAGGTTTTGGTAGTTGATCTCACTTAATTGGGGCATTGTAAATTCTATGGCTCCCCCCTTTTGTCAGATTGGATCCAGTGTTCGAGATAACGACACTTGAACATTTGCTTCAATTTTAACTTGTTATTATTTACAATAACTCAGTTTTTGGGTTGTTTTAATACAATTTTTAACATTACTGATTTTTATAGTGAAAGTTATTTAAAAAAATAGTCACGTGAAAAAGTTTAGTGATATGACTTAAACGGACTTTGCCGGAGTCATTTAAAAAAAAACTTAAACATTTAAACAAATTTTCAAGTACTGTTACGTCGAAAACTAGAGCCACAGCTGAATTTTTAGACGTGGAAAGCATGATGTCAAAATGATGTGTTTGTTGTAATTCATACTGTAATTGTGCATATAATTTGTTAGTGTAATTTTTTACTTATATACGGCTAACACCACCTTATTAAATTCGTCTTGCACGAGGCCCTTATTGCAAAATGAAAATTCCAGCATCCTATGGTACTGCTCCGTAGTAGCTTTTGCGCTTCTGTTTTTTTTCATATTGTATTCACAAACAACAATCTCGACAACAATAATGTTTAGATTGCACGTAAATCAAACATTTAATTTTGGCTTTAATTCAATCAATGTGTATTTCAATATTTGAACACAGTTCTTAGGTTGATACATGTGCTGATGAGATAAAAAAAAGCAAGTGAAAAAGAACACGTGCGGATAGTCTAAGTTGACAGTTCCCTTGACAGACAAGTATTGACAGTCAGAATGTTGCCACCTTTGTGTTAAGGAAAAACGTTATGAGGGTGTCGTAGGCGCGAACATGCTCCCCCCGTTGAAAGATGAAAGTCTTGCAACCTTCACTTGTTCATCTCTTCGGCTGTAGGTAACGGACAAAGGCGCACCAAGGGGCGACGGACACATCCCCGTATAGTGGCAATTTCAGCGACACGGGCTACTCCGTCAGAACCAGGATGAAGGCGCTGTATCCTTCCAAGCCGCCAGCAAATCGGGGGTACATTGTCTTCTTGTAGAAGAACAATGTCTCCGATGTTGAGAGGCGCAGGATTACTCTTCCATTTGCAGCGCTGCTGAAGTTCGGCTATGTATTCACGCTGCCATCTGCGCCAGAAGTGCTGATGAATTTGCTGCATGCGCTGATATCTCTGCAGATGATTGATGTTGCAATTCTCAAAACTAGGTGATGGCAGTGCAGTGAGAGGCCGTCCAATGAGAAAGTGCCCAGGGGTTAAAGCTTGGAAATCATTAGGTGAAGAGGAAAGAGGGCATAATGGGCAGCTATTTAAAACCGACTCTACTTGCGCAAAAAGTGTAGACAATTCCTCGAAGGTGAGATGGGAATTTCCCATAACTCGCTTTATATGAAATTTTGCCGATTTTACCCCGGCTTCCCAAATTCCGCCAAAATGAGGAGCGTAAGCAGGCGAAAACAAAAACTTGATTCCTTCATTACTTGCAAAATCAGAAAAAGAAGTCTTGTTAGACTCAAAAAAAACTAATTATTTCATTTGCCCCCGCGACAAAGTTGCGTCCGTTATCGCAGAATACCTCGGCTGGCCGCCCTCGCCTAGCGATAAATCTTCGAAACGTAAGTATGAAGGCATCTTTTGTCATATCAGAAACCGCTTCTAGGTGAACACATTTATATCTTAAACAAATGAAAATACATAAATAACATTTTACTACCTTTGATCCGCGACCCTTTCTGTTTAATATACAAAATGGACCTGCGAAATCTATGCCGACAGCCCTGAATGGGAAATTGGTGGTGACACGCTGAGACGGTAAGTTACCCATGATAGGCACAATTGTTTTGCCTTATAGTCTTCTACATTTAACGCAGTTATGTACAGTGCGCCTCGCTAGGTGTCTACCATTTATAGGCCATATGAAATCCCTGACGATGGATAACAGTAGCTGAGGTCCGGCGTGTAAGTTGCGTCTGTGTTCATATTCAAAAATTAGTTTTGTGAGATGGTGAGAAGAATGTAGCAAAATCGGATGCTTTTTGTTGAATGAGAAATTAGAAGCGTCTATGCGACCACCTACTCTGATTAAATTTGAGTTGGTGTCATAAAATGGAGTTAGTGACAAAATTGCAGATTTTGCACCTAGCGACTTTCCTTTCGAGAGCAAACGATATTCAGAAGAAAACGATTGCTGCTGTGCCAATCGACACAAATGTTGAAATGAGTTATTCAATTCTTCAACTGACAAGCTACCAATAATTCGATCCGTCGGGTTTTTTAAGTTGTGAAAAAATCTAAAGACATAGGCAAGCATATGTTTTAATTTTAAGAATTTAGAATGGTTTTCAAATTTTATAGCAGAGTTTTCAGTAGTTACTGTGTATATCATAGCTGTTTGTTTTATTTCGGGCAAGTCGTTCTGAGGCGGAGCTGATTCACCTAATATAGGCCACGAATCTTCGGGTTCGATTAAAAATTTAGGACCGGACCACCAAATAGTTTTGCTAGAAATTCGGTCTGGATTGATTCCCCTTGAAATAAGATCGGCAGGATTAAGATGAGTTGGAACATACCTCCAAGAAGATGCATCGGTTAGATCACATATTTCGGCGACCCTATTTGCAACAAATGTTTTTAATGCTTGGGGGCTGGTTTTGAGCCATCCTAGTACTACGCTAGAGTCACACCAATGTACCTTACGATTTATTTCGCAACGCAAGGACTTTAAAACAGCCTTGCACAAATTTGCTGCCAGCAAGCTTGCACAAAGCTCTAGTCTCGGTATGGTTGTCGGCTTGATAGGGGCTACCTTTGACTTCGAACATAGGAGAGCGACGGTCGCTTCCTTATAGCAATTTGTCGACTTGAGATATATGCATGCCCCATAAGCATGCTGCGAAGCATCACTAAATGAATGTAGCTCTATTGAGATGGGGTTGTCACATATTGTGCGTCGAGGAATCTTGATTTCGAGAAGGACTGGTAGCGCTAGAGTAAATTTGCACCAGGAGTTTTGTACGTCATTTGGAACAGCTTCGTCCCAATCAATTTTCTCGCTCCATAATCTCTGTAACAGAAATTTGCTTTGTACGATACATGGACTCATTAGACCCAAGGGATCGAAGATCTTGAATAATGAAGAAAGCATGGAACGTTTGGTCGACTTAGCGTTGTGTGTAGGAACTGCCCTTTGAATGGGGAAAAATAATTCGTCTGTAGATGGTTCCCATCCTATTCCTAGTGTACTTGTAGATTCGCTAAATAAGAGATTGCTTTCCACTAGGGGGAATGCAGAAAGTAAGCTAGGTAAATTGCTTTTAAACTTTCTTAAATTAAGACATCCCCGCTTTAAAGCGCGCATGACGGCCTGTTGAATGTAAATTATCATGTCTTCGCTGTCACTTCCGGTGATTAGGTCGTCAACCATAAAATCATGTTGTATGATCGTTTTGATAGTATCGTCTTCACACTCTTCGCCTAATTGCCAGAGACAGCGTGTGCTAAGGTAACTAGAGCTTGCCATTCCGTACGTTACGGTATTGAGCATGAGCGTTTTAATGAGAGTGGATTCATCTTCTCTCCACAGGATCAGCTGTAGGGGTCTGTCTTCTTCGTTTACCAAAAACTGACGGTACATCTTTTCCTCGTCGCCTGTCAACAGGTACTTATGTTGGCGAGCTCTGATTAACATGGAAAACAGGCTATCTTGCAGATTTGGTCCTACCATGAGGATGTCATTGATAGAATATCCAGACGATGTAGGAGCTGACCCGTCGAACACAACCCTAATTTTAGTAGACTCACTTTCGTTTTTGAATACGGCATGATGACACAAAAAATATGAAGACACAGGTTTGGCTACGGGTGCTTCAGTGAGATGACCTAACTCTGCGTATTCCCTTATGAAGTTCACGTACTGAGCTTTAATGTCTGGGTTTTTACTGAAGCGCTTTTCTAGTTGTAGCAGACGTTTTTTGGCTAAATGGTAGGAATCGCCCAAACAATCGGGATTGTCTATCCGCGGCAAGCCGACTGAAAATCTACCGGACTCTAAACGATGGGTGTTGGGCTGAAAATGAGCTTCACATTCCCGCTCACTCGGACTCAAAGTAAAGTGCTTTGGTGGGATCTCTTCCAGCTCCCTAAATCTGGCTAACTGTTGATTGATTGATTTAAAATTTATTGATGCATTTGACTGGTGGCATTGAATACTTCTAGACTTTGGAAGCACATTATTGTATGTTGGACCAGAGATTAACCAACCGAATTTGGAACTTCTTAGTTTAGGGCCGTGAGGGCCGAGCGAGGATTGCTTATCGCCAATGATATCCCAAAATATTTCGGCGCCTATGAGAATATCAACGGGAGTGGACTTGTTAAAAGAAGGGTCGACAAGTTGCGTGTTTTTAGGCAGTTGAAACTGTTTTGCGTCTATGGTACATTTTGGAAGATCGCCTGTTAACTTAGGCAACACTAAAAAAGATTGCGTGATCTTAAATGGCTCAGTCAACGAAGTAAGCTGAGCGGTGCATGTTTCAATTAAATTGCTGGTTTCATTGTCTCCAATGCCAACAATATTAATGATATCGGAACTGTTGGCCTGAAGATGAAGTTTATCTTTTAGTGATTGTGTAATAAAAGACGATTGACTTCCACAGTCCAGTAGAGCCCTCACATTTAATGATTGACTTGTGAGGGGATTTGATATATTAATTAAAGCGGTGGATAGCAAAACTTGCGAATAATCTTGATTAGACAAGCTTGCTACGGTTTCAAACGCAGCAATTTCCTTGGAACCTTTGTTTGAATTAGACGTATTGTGAACGGGTATATGTAAAAGGGTATTATGTCTTTTTTTACAATCGCGGCAGGGACCTAGTCGACAACTGTGCACCTTATGACCATACCGTAAACAGTTGAGACACAATCTTAATTTATTCGCTGTACTTATTCGATCTTGCACGCTCAGAGCTTTAAAGTTTGCACAATCATAAATTCGATGATCACCTCGGCAAAAGGAACACGAATAGGATGACTCATCACCTTTACCATCATTGTGGTTTATGCAGGCGAACGAATTTGTTTTTGGATGTTCTATCTTGTTTGCTGTTCCAAATGGCTTGACATTTTTGTTTGTATTACTTGTTGTACGATTTAATGACTCTAAAACGTCAGCACGATCGATCAAAAACCTTTGAAATTGTTTTAAATCGGGCATGTCACTTAATGTGCCACGCCACTCCTCCCATTTAATGTGTGTGCGGCTATCTAACTTTAAACTTAAAATATGTACGACCAACACGTCCCACTGATCAGTAGGCTGACCCAAACTTGATAAAGCGCGAAGGTTTTTTGTGATATGGTCCACCATGAATCGCAGGGATTTGTCCGATTCTCGCGTTAATTGTTGTAGATTTAGTAACGAATTTAAATGGTGGGTTATGAGCTGACGTTTATTGTCATAACGTTCGCATAGTAACTTCCATGCGGCGCTATAATTGGCATCGGAGACCTCCAAATTAGCAACAACGTTAGACGCATCGCCGGCTAGGTAAGCAAGGAGGTAATGAAATTTGTGGATGGGTGCTATGCGGTTATTGTTATGAATCAGCGATACAAAAGTGTCTCGAAACTCAAGCCAGCGGAAGTAAGCTCCATCAAATTTCACAATCTGTATTTGAGGTAGTTCAAAATTAGCCCCCTGATGCTCACAACGCAATGCCGAGGGCTCATTCGAAGCGGGGTGCTCGTTTGCATCAGGATTACTTGAAACAAATTTCTGAATTAATCTTTGAGCAAGAGCAATGTTGGTTATGAATGATTGTTCAATATAGTCCCGTTCATCAATTTCGCCTTCCAAATTGCTTGAATTCTATCTGATTTTGCAATTCATCGAATCTGCTGGTTAACGACTCAAATCTACGAAGCCTAAGAGTTAATTCTGTTACTTCGACCGACGTTAAAGAGTCCTTTGCCAGGAGCAAAGCAAGTGAGTTTTTGAACTTTGTTTAGGCCTTAAGCCTAAATATTTCCAAATATAATGCACCACCCT